CATTAAACCAGGAAGTTAGTCCCTGTAGTAAAGGATTTGTGTGAAGCAAAATACCACAACTTCACCAAGTGTGAATTTTAAAGGCCCAAGCAGCAGCCAAGTCAATAGCAAGCAAACCAGGCATGAGCGAATCCAGAAGACTTTAGTCTTAACCATAGTTTTTTATGTTGGTAAAATGTGGTACCCAACTGGTGCTTATGAGGTCTGTTAAAACCCTGGTGTAATGAGAGAATTCTTCAGAGTGAGATGCTGGAAGCTGCTTTTAATGATGTTAAGGGTCAAAAAGTGGAAATCTAATGCAAGAATTATTATGGAAACTGTATTGATTAATTGCATTTTCTATGCTGTTCCCTGTTATTTAACCTGCTTTCAAGTTTCTACAAGAACTGAAACACAACTTTTACAGCTGCCACTTGAACTTCCTTTGCTTGGAGTTTCACTCAAGCATTCTCTACATGGTAGTAAGAAACAATACATTTCCATCTGTTTTCAGTTATTATTTGTCTGATTTCATAGCTCACAAAAACATACCACAAAATTCCACTTTTTCATGCAAAATGTGCACAAAAAAACCTCAGACTTCAAGTGTCAACTGAATGATTGAGTAATTTTGATAAAGAGTGACATTTGATAGACAGATCTGAACATTTGAGAGTTTTTCAGTTCTCCAACTTTTCAGGCCTTGTGCATCACTAAGCTGTGAGTGATTGAAGAGACTGATGAGGAGTTGCTAAGGTCGTGGGGGGATAGGGAGAACCACGTTACGTGACATTAAAGGCAATGAACCTTCCTGGTGTTGCACATAACGTGAGAAGAGTGGACAGGAAAATATAGGGAGGAGAACCTTCAAATTTAGAGGTCAAGCATTCAATCTGAATGTTTCAAAAGGTTGCGCCCCTTAGACACCCCCTCCCTTTTTTCTTCTCCTCTTTCATGACCCCTCCACTTTCTCCATTCTCCCCGCAGCTGATGAAAGACGCTGATGAACAGCAAAGACAGCACTTAAACTGATTTCCAGGACTCGGGAAAGGCAGTTCATCTCAGTCAAATCCTCTGTGTGCGTGCGTCTGAAGCCATCTGGCCACCCCACCTGAATTATGGAAAGCAGTGTTCTATTTGGAAAGTTTTCCAAGTCATGGTCAGTAACCTGAAAGCACCTTTAATATTTCCCCTGCTCTCTCCCTGTTTTCCTGTAGGAAGAGGCCTCATTTCGTGCTCCCTGCAAAAAGTAACACAAATTCTCTGACACACCCATAATAAATCTGTACACTTAACTATGGGCATAAGTGCTTAAAGTCACACAGAAGTGGGGGTGCTCACAGGTGCCCCTCCACTAAGACTTATGGCTAGTGCTCCCCCACTCTGCAGTCACGCAAGCGCTGCCCTGCTCCTGGACCTCAGCCTGATTTTACTGCAGCCTGCGGGGAAACCAGACACTACAAAGGCCCTGGGTCCACATCAATTTCATGAGCAAAGTTACCAGGAAATAAATCATTTTCAGGATTTTTTTAAAAAGCAAGGAAAGGAGAGAGGGGTCCTAGCTAGTGCGCTACCCATTGAAAACAACATAGCAGGGGAGCCGAAAATGAAGTCGAGCGTACGTTTCTAAGAGTCAATTTTGCTTTGTCACACATTTGCTAGCAAATAGAATTGATGTTGTGTCATCTCAAATTTGATAAAAGCCAGTGTTAACCAGTAACCAGGCAAATAAAAGATAATAATTTTTCCCTCTTTACACGCAAGTCTCCGGGAACAAGACCTCGGGTTTTATAGGTCATTTGAGATTGAAAATTTTGCTTTTACAGGCCAGGATTCAGTCTAGACTCCCTATAATAAAATGCATAAAAGCTCCTGCACACAGATTGTGGTAATCATACATCCAGTCAGTCTGGTGATTGGAAACTTTAATTATTCTTATTCCACAGAAACTGAGGTTAGGACGACCTTTCTGGAGCAGATTTTGTATTTTATGCACTTTTTTCTGCCTATATTTCGATATAGAACCAAAATGTTTTCCAACTTGAACGTGTGTGTTGATGCTAATGTTTTTCTCTGAGCCACTCTGTACATGTGGTATGACACTGAGAGCAATTAAAAAGCACTTTCTTAGTTCCCATCTACTAAGTGAAACACATTAACACGTGTTAAAATTTTATTTGGTTTTTCACTCTGGTAAGAGTTTTGTTGAATAGCGTAAAAATGCAACATTCCCTATCATTTTCATTATGAAATCATCTAGACTGATGTACAAAACAACAATCTTCCCAGAACATTTCTCAGAGATGCCTTGATTTATGTTTTTAGGAAAGCAGTAAAACTCTGCTCCAAATCTCTGCGGGGACTTTTACATACTTTTGATTTAGTAAGTTAATGAATCAAAAGCAGTTGTTTTTTTCACCCTCACATTCTGGCCCATCAAATCTTTTGCTATTGAGATTAATGTTCACGACTGCTTACCAGAGAGCTATGAGTTGTAATCCTGCATCTTAAGAAGCCTCTGCTTTTTAATTTTGCATGTTCAAACATAAGGACACGCACAGGTATACCACAGAAGCCTGCTGTGCTTTGCATAAAAGCCCTTTTTTTGGAGCAACACAAATCAGACATGCATGGCAGTAATTACCCCAGTTTTTGTCTGGCACGCTGTGGTCATTTAGGAGATTAATCAGTCGTAGATAAATAAACAGTCCTTCCTTTCTCAATGTCACTCAAGGCTCAAGTTCTGAATAAGGAAAAACTTTATTATTCATTTAAACAGCTCAAACTTTTATTTCAAGACTATGTTGTGTACATACAACAGTTTCTTTCACAAGATAATTTGCTTCTATGTATGAAAATCATATTTTGTCCTGATAAAATAGGAAAAAAGTTATTACAACATTTTAGTCAAATAAAAGCTTGACAAACTTCATATGATATAGAGTACATGCAAAGATTTGACTTTAAGGCTACTTTAATAAAACTGAGAAAAGCAAATCAGGTTCCCTCTAAATGAAAAAATAATACGATATTTTTTAAGGTAGTATAATAAAAAGAAGTACTAATGAAATCCACAATTCCCAAAAACCACTAAACAAGCAAAACAGTTTGCCAAGATACACTGCACTTACATATATGCTAGTGAAATACAGTAAACTTTAGAGAATAGTTTCAACATTCAAATACCCTCAGGGATCTTATCACTATAGGTAGTCATGAGCTCATTTCTTGTTTGCCAGTTAAGCTTCCCGCACAGTGGATACTGGTCTCCCTGGACTCAGAGTAATTATCTGAAGGCACGCAACACACTAACTGGCGAGTTCAGCCCCGACACGGTGTAGGATATGTGAGACAAGCCTTCCTTTCACCTTGATTCTGCTATCTTTAATCACATTGACAAGCACATCAGTCAAAAAAATTTAATGTTTAATTTCTTAAACGTTTAAACTCTGCATTCCACTCTATGACTGATTCAGGAGGTCTGTAATACAACCTTAGTCAATGATTTACAAAACCCATATTTTATTTACAATAGACCACAGAAAACATTTTTAAGTTTACTGGTAAACGTGAAAAATCTGCTTTTTAGCAACAAACTAAACAAATGACAGATTTGTCATAGAACCATTTAATGTGACAGTTACAGTGTCAGGATTGTTTTTGCTATGGGAGAAGCATGAAGCAAATTTCAATGGATAATATATACATATTTTTAAATGTTTAAATTCAGACTTTCTACTGTTTCATGAAAAATAACACTCATTTTGAATTTGATGGCAGCAACATCGCTTAAACGAAGTTGGAGGCGAGAAAAGGCTAGAAAAGTAAGTAGTACTGAAAAGAAACAGCTGGGGGAACATTTTTTAAATAGTTAGGTTAACTAGCAACAGTTCAATAACGGGACTGGATATTAAAGATAGGCAGAGGTTCACCAATCTGTCATTGTGTTCCAGTGCCATCCAAAAATGGAGGTTAATGCTTTATCATGCAAAGAAGAAGCCATATGTGAGAATGTTTTCTATGGACCAAAGCCCATTTAAAATGAACACAGCCAAAGTGGAAAACTGTTATTTGGTCAGACAATTCAAAATTTTAAGATTCTGCTTGGAAAAAATGGATGAGGATGGAAGAGAAGGAAAATCCAGCTTACCAAAATTCAATTACTATACATCTCTGATGGTATTGGGCTGTGGAATTGGAAGCCTGGGCATCTGGAAAGGCACCATCATTGCTCAGAGGTATATACAGGTTTTGGATCAACATATTCTCCCAAGCAGATAACGTCTTGTTCAAGGAGTTGCTTGGATTTTTCAACAAGAGAATGCTGAACTGCACAGTGCATTCATTACAGCAGCTTGGCTTAATAGTGGAAGAGTCAGGTGCTGAAATGGCCAACCATATCATCAAATAAAAACGTTTGATGCATCATGATAATAACTCGAAAGACAACCCAGCTAGGATCCTATATCCAACAAGATGGAATGTTCTTCTACCAAACGTCCAGCAGCTCATCCCAGCAGATGTTTATGGATTTCTGTTTAAAGGAAGACGGGGTGCTACACAGTAGTCAACATGTCCCTGTCCCAACTTTTTGAGAGGTGTTAGGACTGTCAAATTGAAAATGTCCTTATCTTTGACATGTTTCACTTTCCCAATTTAACATTTTACACCTTAACATCCTGACATGTTTACGATTGTGGTTGCGTACTCTGACTGAATCACAGCCTTCTATGAATGATTTGGAGTGAGTAAGACAAATTTTCTGTTAAAATATAAAAGCATAGGAACAAACATAGAGTCGTGCTCTGAAATGACTTCCAGAGTACTGACTCGATCTCTAGTCCACATCAGAATTTTTGTCAAAGACGGTAAACCGGGTTAGTGCTTTCATGTCAGAAAAGCAATTCAGCGGAGAGCACATGGGAAGAATGACAAAGTTGTTTCTACATAGAGTAACCTGCTGGAACTATATGAAATAAAATGCTGCCCTCTTGTGTCAAAATATGGTAAAACAGCAAGCCTTATGCATAAGGAGATGTTACAGCTGTGTTTGATGTAGCTGTGCTGCTACTTTGTGTGTGGATTTTGCCGTCTCCAATAATCTTGCTGGATTTATAATAGTAGATGAACAGGAAGAAACCTATACAAATAAAGAAGAAGGTTAAGGACATTTAATCCAATAAAGAATGAAGTCAGCTCACTGTGACAGTTTTAGATTTACCTTGAAAGGAGTTGAGGATGGTGAAGATGTAGTAGGAGGCGAGGAGCAAAGGTCCGTAGCTGAAAAAAGCAAAAGCCCAGGTGATGCCAAGAAGGAGGAACAGGCCCAGAATGGTGGAAGTGTTGCTCTTAATGGAACTATTGTCTTGGGCTTTTCCTGCTTTTGACATTAGAACGATCTGCCTTACAGTTACAATGAATACACTCAGAGTGAAGACGAACACTACAGCATAATAACCAATGTTGACCCCCTGATGGACACCAGCATCAGAGATCCAGCACCTGAAAATTGGGAGTACAACGTGATCCTCTGATGAAGATGTTTGTGTTTTATCCAAGAAATCTATTATCAGATTTACAGACTTACATTGTTGCTGCTTTCCCCTCATTTGTATTAATATTAATAGAATTATATTTCTGGGAGGCAAGAAGAGCGATCACCACCACAGCCGGTATCACTAAAGAGAAGATTAGGAATATAAATTCTCCTGTGATTATTATTCATAATATGAGAGCATAAGAAGCATTTTTGGCTCAGGTCTCTTACCCCATCCTGTGATGCAAAACTTCAACATGTAATGTTTCACTTCAGTGCAGATTTGACGTAGACTGAGGTACAAGTGTAAAGCCTGCATGAAGAACCAGGTAAAAGTGGCCAACATCCCGTAGTGCAGAACTGCTGCTATTGCCACACATGCACCTTTGATACCCAGATTTGAAATGCTCTCATTGGTCAAGAAGGACAAGTTCAGGATCAACATGGCGACAAAGAGGTTCATCAGAATCTTTGTTGCTTCGCTTGCTTTCCCCTTTCTGTGGAGCAAATTAGTGTGCGTAAGAAAAAGGACTTTACTGAGGTAAAAATCCAAACTCCAAACTGCCTCGGATCTCTTACCTGACGAGAACGTGCATGAAGAGACCGACGATCAAGAAAAAGAGCGACAGTCCACAACCGATTGAAGTGATGTAGGTCAGAGAATTAACATCAGAAGCGCTAATGTTTGCAGGTGGAGGTGACTAGGTTCAAATAGTTATGTGTCAGTATGTGCTGTAAAAAAATCATTTCTTATTTCCTGTACAGCTGTCTTACCATGAGTATGGCAAAAAACGTTAGATGTGTGCACTGGCAGGTGATGCTGTTATTGGTCTCCAGTGTTTGACAGCCATCTGTGATCCAGAGTGATTTCCCTGTTGGACAGCAGTAATACAAAGAAGTAACTGTTAAAGACAGACTTTATCACAGTAATCAGTGTGTGTGCAAAATGTGAGTGAACACTTCAAAGGTCTCTGATTCCTGTGGTTTTCATATTAAAATAAGATATTAAAATAAGATATATATAGAGAGAGATCTATTTGTTTTTTTTTTTTACCATTTGCATCTTTGCTGTTTCCATCCCAAGACACGCAAGAAGCATTCGCTCCTTTCTTTATCAAAATAGAAAATGAAAATCAGAATAAGTTTTCCTCTGAACTTAAAAATGATCATTATTTCTGTTATGACATCACACTTACCTTGTCCACATTACTGTACTGAATCTCGATGGGTTGTGAAAGGTTTTGTATTTTTGCCCCCATTTCTATTCCCACTATCTCACTGTTTAAATAGTATTTACTGCTGTCATCCTGTTAAGATTAAAACATTGTTAATAGATCAGGTTTGGTCAATATGTTTATACATATGAAAAAGTAAGTTATTAGTTGAGCTGTACTATTACCGCATGCATTTCTGGAAACAACAGAATTCCAAGAAATGATCCATTTCTCTCCACCGCCATTTTACTGGCCTCTTTAGGAATTTTCATTAAACGAAATGAGCCTGTAAAATTGCTGTTTCCTCCTTTAACAATCTTTCAAAATGAGAAATGTTTATCAGCAAAAAATGTATAAAATAATGATGTCATGCACATGTATTATACAAATTAAAACTAATATATGCGAATTAGCATTAAAGTATCTTTTGTATTTCATCAGAATGTTCAATAAACACAGTAATTTTCACAGAACTCAAAAATTTAAATTTTCTGGCAATTATTCCATGCCTCAGACTTTAGAGAGTTAGAAATCCACAGTCTTAAAATTGTGTCACACTCTTTTATCAAACACCTTACCATCACGCCAGCGTTTTCTGTGAAGGCAAAGTTCAGGTTGGCTTGAATTTCCTGGGAGAGTTTCGCAATCACTCCTGTGATGTTGCCCATCTTGATTGTTGCTGTGCCGGAATTACCCATCAGTTCAAGGACAAAGGATAGATTTTTCATGACGTCTCTGTAACACGGAGACACAGTTAGCTTCTTAAAGTAGATTTCAAAAGTGCACAATATTGCAAAAATATTTCTATGAAAACTGAGATATTTACACTGGGTTAGGAATGATATTGTAGGTGGAAAGGTCAATAGTGTAATTGTTATTGGGGGTGGGGGTGATTGTTGTGGATGGTCCGGAAGAGGAGCTGGGGGTGATTGTTGTGGAAGATTTGCTGGAAGAATTGATGCTGGTGGGTGTTGTGGATGGTTTTGGGTTGCATAACACATTCCATGTGTCATTATCACTCACGACATATTCTGTTTTATGTAAATGTGCACAAAGTATGCAAACACACACACACACAAACACAAGCAGGCTGTTGTTACACTTGCTAACATTAAATATTTGTTTTTAACTGATTTGATAAACAAATAAATATACCTGTGAGGTTTTCACGAAAGCTCCCTTTGCTCAGTTTCATATTCATACTCATATTCTTCATACCTTGAACACATAAAAGTATCAAATTAGAACTTATGCACTGTCACTGCTGTCACATTGTTTCATGTAGAAATTAAGAGGAAAGGTTTGTGAATTTACTTTCACTCAAGCAGCGGTGGATGCTACAAAAAAAATCTGCAACAAGATAGAAAGTGCATCAGATCATTGGTTGGAAACCTTTTCAAACTGATCAAATAAACTGAAAATTTGACCGCTGTGGGCAAACTCTCACTTCTTAGAGGCTTACCAGGGCTGCTTTTGTTGTAGACCTGGGATGGCATACATGAATAATTATGCTCTGGATCCTTCATCACCACAATATCTTGCTTGGATAAAATCTCTTCAGTTAAATTTAGCCTGTATTTACCTTGACTATCTATTTTTACTTCAATATTGCAGTTGAAATCCGTGCCGTTACAACACTCTAAGAAAAATTTAAAGCACAAACACATTTAGCAAATAACCAAGACAAATGTTTTTCCCCAACAGCTTGAAAGCAAAAAAAAATGAAAAGCTAAAAATTAGATAACTGTACCTGCACGTGTATTATTTGGTTGGATGTTGAAACAGAGTTTAGTTCCATTGTCCTCTTGGTAGATAGGTTCTAAATTAAAATATAAAACCCCAGATTACTAAGTTTGTCCTTTAACCTAATGATGATTTTTTTCCTGTATTGTTTTTAACTTACTTGATGGAAAATATGAATCAGCTAGTGTTTTGGGACTGATAAAGAGGGTATTCTTGGGTTTACTGTCTCCATTTGTGCCTAAAAATTTTCAACGTAAAAATATGAGAAAAATATTTTGAGAAATACTGGTTTCTTTTAAGCTAGATTTTGTTACTTACCTGTGCTGTACAACAGAAGCATTAGCTCCACGGCAAACATCAGGCAATGGTTTACATCCAATGGTAACATTATCCTAAGGAGAAAAGGGAGCAAGCTTACTTATCACAACCTAAAACTTAATAAGTTCCAGCTTCTATTTCCCAAATGAGAATATGTTCTGCGTTGTTGAGTTTCACAGTCATTATTTTTACTGACAAATATACCTTTGAGATCTTCCACTTTACTTTGACTTGCAAATAAACTGGGCCCCCTTTTTAAATTTTATGTTTCCTCAGAAAAAAACTGGCAGAATGCTACTTTTTCCCCCCATGGGCTGGACTGTAGGTCTGAACATAAATGCTCCAGTAATACTTTATCCCCTGTACTGATATGAAATCTAAAGAATGTGCAGTTTTTTAAATGTATCTGTGCTCATTTCAGTCTGGATGAAAAACAGGAAGTCATCACTCTGATTGTGCTAAAACCTTCTAGGTATCCGCAGGTTTCTAAAGATGTGCAGTGTATAGGATTATTTCATCATTAGTTCATTATTATATTTATATTATATTATTTACAGTTGTAGTCAGATGTTTACATACATTCATCATGGGCTTGAATGTTTATGCAACAGACATCTTACTTTAAAATATAAGATTTGAGTGCACAAATTATGATTTTATTTTGGATTTTTTTCTAATCCACAAAATGTCAAAAGTATACATACATTCTAATATATGTACGTACGCCCAGTAATATTTGGTTTAATGTGACGTGGCAAGTTGCACCTCAATGGCATGCTTTTGGTACCCATTAACAAATATTCTTATTTGTTAACAGAGTTAGTTTAAATCAGTTGGTTCCCTGGCATGGGCCTGGCTTTTAAGCGTACAATGGTGTGAAAAAGTGTTTGCACCTTCCTGATTTCTTAGTTTTTCACATATTTGTCACACTTACATGTTTCAGATAATGAAACATATTTTAATATTAGACAAAGGTAACCTGAGTAACCTAAATGATGATTTCATTGATTAAGGGAGAAAAGTTATACAAACCTACTTTGTCCTTTGTGAAAAAGTAATTGCCTCTCTTGTTAAATCATGAATTAACTGTGATTAATTACCTCTTTTTGAAAGCTGAGTTCAGTTTCACTAAACACACTTAGGCCTGATTACTGAAGCTGTTTGAATCAAAATAAGAAAGAGATTGGGCAAAAATTGCCTGCATGGCAGAGTCAAGCAGACCATTTCAGAAAAGGAACATCGTTGTAACGGTAGAATATGGTGGTGGTAGTGTGATAGTCTGGGGTTGTTTTGCTGCTTCAGGACCTGGAAGACTTGCTGTGGTACATGAAACCATGAATTCTGCTCTCTACAAAACATCCTGAAGGAGAATATCCAGTTATCTGTTCATGACCTCAAGCTGAAGCGTCCTTGGGTTCTGCAGCAAAACAATGATCCAAAACATGCCAGCGAGAATGACTTAAGAAAAACGAAGTGAAGACTTTGGAGTGGCCTAGTTAAATTCCGTATCTGAATCTGATCAAGATGCTGAGGCATGACCTTAAATAGATGGTCCATGCTTGAAAATCCATTATGACCAGAGATGGGCAGTAACGCGTAATCCGATTACTTTTTTCAGGTAACGAGTAAAGTAAGGGATTACTATTGCAAAAATGGTAATTAGATTACCATTACTTTCCCGTAAGCACGCTGCGTTACTGCGTTACTAAAACCGTGATTTTTTGCGAGAATGTCTCATGACAGTGACGTAAGCGAGCGCGACATTCGTGACAACAGCTGTGTGCAGATCAACAATGGATAATATATCGAGTGCGGGGAGAGTATGAGCGTGCAGCGTTTAAAGCGCGGAAGTACTGACCTTACTTTGAGTTTGATTCCATAAAAAGTGACAAAAACATTAGTGTCCGTTGTGCGTGGGAAGAA